ATAATTCACGCATTCGTGAAATTTTAATTGGAACTTAATAAAATTGTATGTGGAATTTTTTTACACATGCCAACTTTGCAAAATCCTTTAAAAAATCCTGCGAAATTGTCAATGCTTACTTTTTGAAGTAATTTTTATGTTTTCATGCCATTACGTGTAAAATGAATGAGACAAGTTTTATTAGTAAAAATTCCACCTTTCTGCGTGGGATGGTGTAAATTAAAAATTCAAAGAAATTAGTAGCACTCGCAGAGCAGGTGAATTTGGTACTTCGATCGGAAACCCTGTACATCGTACGAAATCTCACGTAATTAAGCCCCGACGGAAGAGTCTCTTCTAACCAAAGAAGGGAAATCTTAGGACTTGGAGCACGCCATGCGGTTATTTTTATGGTCCATACGTATTGCACAGCCAAGTGCCCATATTACTGCTCTTTATCTAGGAATTTAATGTGTACATGTGTGTTCGTTCTCTCTTCCTTCCTTGTAGTCATAGCATACGCGTAATTTTTCAACTCGTTTTTTCCGTACGTCTTTTTTTAAATAAATTGAAAACCTGTACTACGTCTTTACAGTACGTAAATGTTCTCTCTAGCTCATTGGATTTTGCGTTCGTTTTATGACTTCCGTGACAGTCCCAATTCACCAACTTGTTTCCCTTCCTGCAAAATAAAACAGTAGTCAAGGAATTATTACGCGGATGACAGTACTTTACCGTGCTGTAAATGCGCTAGTGTGGGAAAATCTATTAAACGATACTTTAATCCTTTCTTTCTATAAAAATTTGTCTTCTTTTACAGTTTAGTGTACTAAGCTAATTTTTGTATGAATTTAAAGTTCTTTCGGAATATGATTTGGCCACATTAGGAGCATAAACTCAAAATAGGTATTTTTATCCACTGCTTCTGGAACCTAACCTCGCGAATGTTCGAGGTATTGCTAAATGTACATTTATTGCAAGTTGTGCATCCTAAGAAATATAAGTTGAATACAAATACTTTGGTTGCCAAAAACAACAAACTTTGTTTCCGTCAATTTTTGGCACCGGTCCTTTCAGCCGCCGTAAAATTGCAGTCAATTTGCAGAATGATTATTATTTTAAATATGACTGAAATAAAACTTACTTACTTGATACTGAAATAACTGAATATGGTTCACAGTAATGGCGGACAAGCCAGTATTTTTATTTTTATAGTGTTTAAAAATCGGACAGTTTTGAGCGTTTATTTTTACGCCTGGCAACGGCTTGACGAAAAGCTTTCGAAATGTTACGAAATAAATTATGTTACCTTTCCTGAACTACGTTTTTCCGATACGCTGTTTAGTAACGCTTCGATGAAGGCATAAAGCTGATCGATCAGTATTGTGTTCTGGATGGGATGTTTAACAGCTTTCTGAAGCTTCTTTATGGGATCTCTTTTAAGCGTCTATCGGTACAGCATTATTCATAAACAGCCATCTACGTAACTTATCCCTGATATAAATGAATTTCAATTATTTAAAATGCTTATTTTTGGCCTATTCATGCATAGGTGCGCAAAATAGGGTGTGTAAAACCAATGCGAATATTTTGATTAAGCTGTGGGAAGAATCTTTCAATTGATTCAATTTTTATAATAACACTTATGACATACCGATATTTAAGCAGCATTATTTACTAGGGCGTCTATACAAAAATATTTGCGCTTCATATCCACCTTGTTTCGATTAAAAGTCACTATACTCTCTACGCTACTTTTGTCACGGCCTATTTAATGTTATCGGTTTGGTCATTGACCTATTTGGTAATAAACTGCAGTGCGAAAAATACTGCTCCTTTGGGAATTGTTGACATTCCAGTTGTTTCAGCTTTCCGCCAAACAACTCGCTTACGCGTGAAAGCAGTCTGTATGTTTTTCTGCTAAACGCACCCAGCATTTTTGTTAATTACATCAAAGGCGTATGAATCAATAGCTTGCCCGTTCATTTCATATGAGGACCTCACTAAATCTGCTTCTCGAGTTTATGTAGCAGTACATCTCGAAAACTTTCTTCAGCTTTCGTAACTGAGCGTACTCGAGAAACTCGTTTACAGGATATTGTATTTACAGTCAGAATTTAAGTTTTAGGCATCCGTTCCCGATCGGCTAAACAGCACCATGATGTGTCAGAAGCGCCTTGATCAGCTCGGGGCACAAAGTTTCATATGCACCGTTGCATTCCCTCCTTGTTAGGCATAATTCTTTTAAGGGAGGCCACTAAACGTTTTTCTTACTGCGATTGATGCTGATTATTCTATTTCTGACTGGCAGGCCTACCCAGCTCTGAAGTCGCCGAGCACGCACAAGTCTTCGGTTCCAATGTTATCCCTCCCAAGCCGCCAAAAACCTTCCTCCAACTTATGTGGGAGGCCCTACAAGATGTTACCTTAATAGTACTCATGGTAGCTGCCGTGGTCTCACTGGCACTTGCGCTGTACAGCAAATGTAAGTTTCTCTTGTTTCTTTTTTCCCCATTAAATGAATTTTACATGCAAGTTATGTATCGTTTTCCGCGGAGTTATTGCCACTGACTCGCAATAAATGCTACTTAGGGTGTAGCCGAATAAAGCAAATATTACCTTATGCGTTTTCGCCGTTGATTACTCAAACGCATATAATCTCAAGAACTTTCAGTTTCATCCGTTCCTCTGGTTTGCACACAGTGAAATCGCCTCGTTTTTTCTTTAAACATTTTTCTAGCAACTATCTAGTAATGTTGGCTTGTTTTCAATGATCAGCGGTCGCATACACATCTCCCGTCCGGTTTTATGGAACAGTTTCTGCTTGTTATTCGTTCCCGTGTATGCGAATATTCCTTGTTAACCTCTGAACCGAAACTCGTATCTCGGTCAACGCCATGCAGCAGTGATTGCACCCTGTCCAAATACAAGTCTTAGGTGAAGGTTTAGACCCATGCTTCGTCGAATGTATGCTGCTGTATGCAACAACTGCTAAGGTTGACGCTTTTCATTTAGCCCCATCACCTGACAAAGTCAAGGGGCCTTTCCTGGCTAATCTCCCTTATTCTTGTCGGCCATATTAATCAACCACCAGTTGCTTGTCTCTACACGACTACCTGTGAGAGTACTAGACCCGAGAACCCAGAACAACAGGAAAAAATTGATTATTTTAGTCGTCTTAGGTGACATCTCAGTCCGCTGACATTTGTAAACCAATCCAAATAATTTACGAATCATATCTTTGATGATGATGTTAAGCACCTTCTCCATTCGATACTTGTCATTTCGAAGTCATTCCGCTGTGGCTTCCGCCATCGATCATAGCTTATACCGGTTTAGCTATCTTATACCAGCAAACACGACATATGACATGTAACCAACTGACTTTGCACTGGTCCCATTAATACTAGTTGCTGGACGTTCTTGCTGAACCTTTGAAAATGTATCTTATTACGTCCTCCCTCCCTCCACACAGGTCAGTGTAAAGTCACTCCTTTTTTTGGTATTGAATATTACCGATGGCAACTCTGAAGTCTTGTAACCCAAGAAGTGGTTCGCTGCTTAACTACCGAATGACATCAGACTCAGTTTTAGATTTTAGTCGTCTGGTTTGAACTTGATACTTAACTAGATGATGATGATGATGATAATAGTAGATAGTAGGTTAGAAACGGCGTCCACCGCGGTCTCTCTCTCTTTTTCTGTGATGGCGGAAGGCTGCGCGCTGTTGCCACAGGCTGCCACACACGCACACACACTTGC